ATGAAGACTTGCGAGACTACTATAGAGCTCAGATATGCGAAGTTCGTGCTGAGGAGGCTATATTCGTCAACGAATCGGCTGCGCATGAGCGCACAAAAGACCGTAAAAGAGGTTGGTCTCTACGCGGCGTACCGTGCAGAGTAACAGTATCAAACAGGCGCTCAAGGAGATGGAGCATCTTGCCAGCTATAGGGATTAACGGCTATCTCGACTATGAGATATACCACGGCAGCTTTAACCGCGAGAGATTTAACGCATTTATTCAAAGATTACTAATAAAGATGAATCCGTATCCTAGGCCACAGTCAGTGCTAATTATAGATAACCACAGCGCTCATCATAGTCAAGTAAGCTCTTGACGCTATATTTACTATTAATACTGATATTTGTATATAGGAGCTAAGAGATATGTGCCAAGAGGCAGGCGTTCGATTAATATATCTATCTCCTTACTCTCCCGACTTCAACCCTATCAAATTCTCGTTTTCTCTGTTGAAAGCATGAATGAGACGGAATAGAGAGCTTGCAGGGCAGTTTTCTGACTGGTATAAGGGCTTTTTCCATCTTGCTGTATAGTTCTGTGGCGTTGAGAAGCATGCAAAGAATTACTTTCGCTATTGTCATTTTCGCATTAACGAAACCACTGTTAACGTGCCCTATAATACGCTTAAGGCGCTATGAAGCTATAGAGAGATAGTACAGATAGAGAGCTATTGATTGATAGTATGGAAGTAGTAGTAGCTGCTATAATTAAGCTATAATCGTCAAAAAGCAAACTGCTATCTTGATAGAATTCATGGTATTAAGTTATAATATTCTGCCAAGCCTAAGTCTTGGCACAGATTTCTTGTTTAAGCGAAATTTTGGAATTAAATTCTGTGAGCTTATATATGCGCTAGTAACTTAAATACACTCTAGTAATTAAATTTTTGCGTGTTTTTATACAAAATAAATGACAATATATGTAAACTTAATACACTACTTAATGTCTATACACACTCCTTAACGCCAACTATCCTCTATCTACGAGCTTAGAGCTCCTCGCCTTTGCTTTCCTCAGGTATATCAAGATCAAGCTCACTCAGGAGATGCTCCGCAACCTCGTCAACGGCCTCCGGATGCTGTAGATGCCATATTTTGTCGTTTTTTAGCAAATCCATCTTGATACCAACGTCGATACTAATATCCTTCCATTCTTCGTTGCTCAAACTAGCCAAATCCGAAAAACCCACGCCAGCACTTATCAGCAGGTCCCGTGCACGGTTAAATGCAGCACGGCGCGCAGGCCGAGCACGGATTCGAGCCTGAATGAAGGCGAGTAGTCGGGCATCCTCATCTCTGGCCTGTGGGATAGGGCTACTTGGCAAGGGTAGCGCTGACGCTGGCGCTATAGTAGATGGAACTGGGGTCTCTATATCTGTATCTTAAGCCCTGTTATCTGCGTTTTCGTGGATAGGAGTAGCCAGCGGAGGACCCCCTGAGAGGTTGATATTAAGCGTCATCCCTTGGCCAGCTACTGTCGACGAAGCTGTAGTAGATATTAGAGGCTGTGGAGTAACAGGAGGCTGTTGATTCTGCTCCTTCTGCTTCTTATAACCCTCAATCAACCGGGTTAGCACCCCTGGAGGAGGATGATAGATATTAATAGCAGGGTCATCCTTTATAGCATCTCTCCACTCGCGAATATTAGCCATATTAAGCTTCAAATAGCCTATTCGAGAGAGATTATAGCAGTGATAGCCATTATTCAGACAGTTAGGTCGATTATACTTGTGCCGACGGCCAATCTCAATAGCTAGGTTTGGTATAGCAGCGTGGAAAGCCGCCTTAGCTGCTCGTTGACGCGTTGAAGTACTCTCTATTCTTTTCCAGCATCTTCGTAGTATGCTTGAGTGGTATAGTGGACGAATCTGATGACATTACTCTTACCTGAAGCGTCCACGGTTAATATAATTATAGACTTAATATAAGGAAGCTTTTTAGGCGATCAGAGCAACGCGTAAAGAAGCTTGAGATGCACGGTTATGAGCTGTTTGTAGCTCTGCTACTGTTCTATCGACGCGATTCATATCTAGCCCGTCTTCACTTTTATATAATTATAAGAGTATATAAGGCTATCTTAATAAAGGCTCTAAAGGTAAAGACCTTTACTTTATTACTAGATCTTTATATTAAGAGACTAGTAATAAGGGCGATTACTAGAATCTATATAACAAAAGTAATAACTAGTATTAAGGAAATATATAAACGAATTTATAAGCAAATAATAGGTAAAAAGAAGAGAACAGTAATCTCTTAAAACTCTTTAGTAAATTATATAAATATTTAGGCAGACTAGTTTATGTCTTGATGAACCCTTATGCGAAGATGTTCTCTAGAGCTATAATTAAGACGAAGCAGAAAGGTGTACACTATAGCTTTAAGCTGATAAGCCTGAGAGAACTGTCTTGTTATCTAAGTTGAAATAGATGTCTAATAACCTGCGCCCTCTACGCCCTCTATGAGGCCATTTCTAAGGAAGCTGTATCCTCTTAATCACTATAACAAGGAGATAGGCGGCACAGATAACCATGCAAAACAGAATAGCTTCTACACAACATCTCAGCATCACCGCAGGCGTAACTGGTTCCCTCTAATCTTCTTCCTTATTAATACAGCTGTTACCAACGCTTATATTCTATATAAGGTAGCTAATGAAGGTAAAGAGAATAGAAATAGTAGGAGGATCAAAATACTCTTGTATGCATATCAACATTTAATCTGCTAACGCTTGTTCAGAGATAATCTGATTTTGTCGTTTCTTGATCTGCATGTCTACAGTGGTTGAATATTTTCGTTTCCGCAAAATCTACACCACCTTCTTATGACCTCTGAGTGATGCCGCCTGCAGTGCGTTACCATAGTATCCACCTTGAGCATTGATCTCGGCGCCCCGGTTTAGCAGCATCTGCACCACCTTCTCACGGCCTCTAGATGATGCTGCCTGCAGTACGTTACTATAGTATCCACCTTGAGCATTGAGCTCAGCACCCTGGTCTAGTAGCATCTGCACTATCTTCTCATGACCTCTAGATGATGCCGCCAGCAGTACGTTACCATACTCTCCACCTTAAACATTAAGCTTAGCGCCCCGGGCTAAGAGCATCTGCACTACCTTCTCGTGACCTTCAGATGATGCCGCCTGCAGTATATTGCGATAGCGTCCACCTTGAACATTGATATCTGCGCCCCAGTCCAGCAGCATCTGCACTACCTTCTCATGACCTCTAAGTGATGCTGCCTGCAGTGGGTTGCCATACAATCCACCTTGAGCATTAATCTCGGCCCCTTGGTCCAGCAGCATCTGCACTACCTTCTCATGACCTCTAAGTGATGCTGCCTGCAGTGGGTTGCCATACAATCCACCTTGAGCATTAATCTCGGCCCCTTGGTCCAGCAGCATCTGCACTACCTTCTCATGACCTCTAAGTGATGCTGCCTGCAGTGGGTTGCCATACAATCCACCTTGAGCATTAATCTCGGCCCCTTGGTCCAGCAGCATCTGCACTACCTTCTCATGACCTCTAAGTGATGCTGCCTGCAGTGGGTTGCCATACAATCCACCTTGAGCATTAATCTCGGCCCCTTGGTCCAGCAGCATCTGCACTACCTTCTCGTGACCTTCCTCTGATGCCGCGCGCAGTGGGTTGCCATAGCGTCCACCTTGAACATTGATATCTGCGCCCCAGTCCAGCAGCATCTGCACTACCTTCTTGTGACCTCCAGATGATGCCGCACGCAGTGGGTTGCCATAGCGTCCACCTTGAGCAGGGATCCCAGTGCCCCAGTCCAGCAGCATCTGCACTACCTTCTCATGACCTCTGAGTGATGCCGCCTGCAGTGCGTTGCTATACAATCCACCTTGAGTATTGACCTCAGCGCCCCGGTCCAGCAGCATCTGCACTACCTTCTCATGACCTCTGAGTGATGCCGCCTGCAGTGCGTTGCTATACAATCCACCTTGAGTATTGACCTCAGCGCCCCGGTCCAGCAGCATCTGCACTACCTTCTCATGACCTCTGAGTGATGCCGCCTGCAGTGCGTTGCTATACAATCCACCTTGAGTATTGACCTCAGCGCCCCGGTCCAGCAGCATCTGCACCACCTTCTCGTGACCTCCCTCTGATGCCGCGTGCAGTGCGTTGCCATAATATCTACTTTGAGCATTAATCTCAGCGCCTCGGTCTAGGAGCATCTGTACTACCTTCTCGTGACCTCTAAGTGATGCTGCTTGCAGTGGGTTGCTATACAATCCACCTTGAGCATTGATCTCGGCGCCCCGGTCCAGCAGCATCTGCACCACCTTCTCGTGACCTCCAGATGATGCCACGCGCAGTGGGTTGCCATAGCGTCCACCTTGGACATTGACATCTGCGCCCCAGTCCAGCAGCATCTGCACCACCTTCTCGTGACCTCCAGATGATGCCACGCGCAGTGGGTTGCCATAGCGTCCACCTTGGACATTGACATCTGCGCCCCAGTCCAGCAGCATCTGCACCACCTTCTCGTGACCTCTGAGTGATGCCCACATCAATGCCGTATTGCCGTCTCGGTCAGTCCTATTAACATCAACATCTTCATCGACCAAAATCGTTCCCATTACTTTGTCATGCCCAATGAACGCTGCTAGTTGGAGCTCGTTCATGTCTGGTTGAGCTTGGTAAGGTTCCGTAATAAACCAAAATAATCGAAACCACAGCAGAAACCGTTCACTAGTTATATCATACAAATGATGTACTTCAGTTATAAGAGAATCATTCTCTCCAATTTCCGATCTTCGTAGATGACCTGGCCAATGTTCTGCTGAGTACAACAGGAAGTCTTCTATAACGTTTTTGTTGCTCTTATTCTGTATCTTGGTGTGAAAATCCCATGTGTTACTTGTAACGAGTTCATACGAGATTTTCCTTTCCAAGTGTTTTAATAGAAGGAATCGGACACATATCCGGCTCATATGCATTTCAGTATCGGCGATATCGAAACAGTGTTTCCACCCAGTTCTAATCGTATCCTTCTCACAAATCAGAAATTCCCTCGCCGTCTGGTGGATAAGATAGATCTTAGAGTGGTTGATGAATATGAACAATCCACACCAATGACAGATATTCCGCTCGAGATGATCTTTGTTAATTGAAAATTCGGCTGCTGATTTAAGATGTGACGATGTAGCAACATCGAGGGCTAAAGCCATCTCAGCGGTAGTCAGCGGACGGCGCGCACCGACCACAATTCGTAGGATCGTTTTTACCGTTTCTCGCACCCCTTGAGTGACTTTCCCCAAGATCTTTTCATACGCAGTCTCAACAGAAGACGGGAGTGACTCAATCGATTCATCGTCTGGTCGTAGACTATCTCTGTACGTTTCATAGACATGACTAATGGCAAGATAGAGCCATAGATACGTACGATGTTTCATCCGCAAAAGCTTTTGCTCCAGCCGGGTCTTTGTCTCCGGTTTAAGTGATAACTCTTCCGCTAGTTTAGAGACTCTTTCTCTGATCACCATATCGATTTCCTTCCGAATCTGTTCATTTTCATCCTCTCCACGCAATCTTATTACCGGCAGGGATGATATTGTTTTTTGGAATGTTTGCTGAATATCATCGTACGGTCGACTCGTAACTAGGAACTTTAACGAGTTGTTCCGCCGATGAGACGATGATAAGTTTATGTGAAATTGGGACAGCATATTGATGAGTCGCCACCGGTCATCGTCTTGACACTCATCTAGCGCATCGAGAATACAGGTCACATTAGGCGCCTTAGGGTCAGCGGTCACCGCGAGAAGTAGGGAGTAGCGTATCGAAGAAGATGACGCTGGCTGTCGAAGAGTTGATGGAGCAGAGCGCACAACGCAATATTTAGTTTATTCTGCCGCTCGTTGTCCTTGAAAAAGAAGTAGCATACCGTATGCGTTGTAGTGTTTTGAAGCTCGTAGTCAACTAAAGATTTCGAGAGAACTGACTTTCCGCAGCCTGGATCGGCTGATATCCACAGGAGGCTGTCGGTGCTGCTTTGATGCCATTTAATATATTTCTCATTCTTAAAGACCCACTGACATGTGTCGGCAGTCCGATCAACGTTGATGTCCTTCTGCTGCTCATAATTATCTATCTTAAAAGCGACGTGGCATTTCCGGTCTTGGTCGTTCTGATATCGTACCTCTTGCTTGCGGCAATAATCGCTCACCGCTTGAACATGTTCTTTTACTACATCTAGACCACGAATTAGCGTTACAGGCGCTCTGATCAGTCAAACCAGATTTCAAGAGGATTAGTCTTTATATAGGAAAATGTATGCAATTTGGATGTGGAGTACATGCTCATCCTAACAGCCTACATCTATCACTCACCTAGGACTTGGTCAATTGGCTTCTCACTTGAGGTCTGCGCTGTTGATATATATAATAGAAGCTCTTTCGTGTATGCTGCCGCAGTGGTCGCCGCATATTTTTGCCATAAATCACTCTTATAAGCATCAGCATAGTCGCAGATACCTCGAATAATGATACAGGGGAAAGAATTTATGAGCCCCGCCGCTTCCATCTCAACACATAGGGCGCCGCAATCGTCGCGCAAAAGGTCCCTCACGACAGCATCTTTGACCACCTGATTCCCTGATGCGATGATTCCGTAGTGGACTTGCGGATCGGTATTCTCACGACTCGGACGATACACTTCGCAGGCACTATCACAATGATCGCAAATAGCATTGCTTGTCGGATGATGGCAGTACAGACGATCCCTGTCCGTGCCTGGAAAAGTGTAGCCGTTTATCTGCAACTTGGGTTTGCGTTCAAACATCTCGCTGAGGTAGGTAGGCACCTTGCTGTCCTCTGACTCATGGTCTGCCTGCAAAGCACCTAACGCGGTGAGGAGCGCTAACGGCGGTGCATTGAGAGACCCTTTTCGTTGAAACTTCCCTCCGTTCAGGCTTTTGCCCTTGTCGTACTGAACTACTCCGCCCGTCGTGTCTGTCGGCTGGCTCACCACTACATCTCCCAGCCGGATGTCGTAGCCTTCCTAGCCTGATGTCGTAGCCTTTGTCAAGATTAGGTATGCCGCCTCCGATGCCTACCATCAGCCCGAATCTCAATCCTTTGAACGTCCTCACCATATCAGTGGCGACAGAAGCTGCCGCGGTAGTGCCATCGACACCAGCCGGCAAGGATGCGATCACCACATTGTGGTTATGAACGCGTCCTACAAAGTAGGTGTTATGATCCTGCGCGTCTTTGTCCAAAAACACTCCATGTTCTTCATCCAAGGTGGCCCGGACCGCCGCCCTCTCAATGGGTAGCGCACATATGATCCCCACGTGGTATTCATCGACAAGAAAGGGAGGCATTGGTGGGTAAGGAACCTCAAGATGGGCACAGCCGCGGCGTTAAAGTTGTGGGATCTGCGATGATTTCGAGACAAAGAAGCGATCTTCTATTTCAAACAGCAAAAGGGGGCTGCATTTCAGAGTTGTAGAAAAAGGGGATGTCGGTTTGACGATTGTTTATACATGAGGATCGATAAACCACATGCGGAGCAAGGCTAAACAGGTGCTGAATATCAGCCGGCAGACAGATGGGCGGATATTCAGCGCGTAAATAACAATCCTCGCCTGTAGCTATCGCAGAGCCTTGCCCCTTGAACGCTGCCATCGGCCTAGTCGATCGCAGCAAGGCTGAACCAAAGCTGAGGAAATCGTTGATTGCGCTCGTGGCTTGGCCCTAGACCATGCAAGATCTGATGCGATACCCACCAGATAAAAGATTCAGGTGCCATGGATCCAATCACGATCGGCAAAATACTCATATCTATGCCATTTAAGGAACAGACAACCCTCACTAACTGCATCAAACAGATCAGCCTTAACCCTACATCCGGGAAAGCACGCTTCATTATTACACACGAAAGACTTCAGAATGATCATCATTCGACTTGCTCCACGGTTGTCTTTATACTTCCCCATACCATGTTGGATTGTACGTCAATCATTAAACCGGAAAGATATCTTTTGATTTGCTCCAAGAGGATCCTGCTTAAACGCCGGCGTAGCGAGTCCACGCCGACCATATCACGTGGCAGTTGCATCCAGAGACCCTCTGAGAAGAAGCGCCTTGACTTGAACCTCCTCCTTTCACTTCTCAAAGGCGACTTTGTTGAGATGCGTGGGCTTTACTCTCGTTGATGAGCTATTTCGACCGGCAAGGAATTCCCAAGAAAGTGTTAAGTGTCCATTCACAAGAAGAGATCCGAGATTCGACAAGGCAGAAAGACGACGGTGTTAGAGACGACGAGAAGGACGAGGAAGAGGACATTAGAAATGATGATACATCTGAGGCGAGTGATGATGACATGTTTGAAGAGGCTGTGGACCGGCTACGAAGCTACTCATTCGTGTCTCTCGGAAAGAATGAGACGTTCGAAATGTATGGACTGGTACAGCTAGCGACGCGGAAATGGCTCGCAATGTGTGGAGATGATGAGAAATGGAAGGCACAGTTTAGTAGGAACCTGAACGCGTTGCTTCCGAACGGCAATTACGAGAACTGGGCCAGATGCGAGATGCTTTTCCCACACGCAAAGTCGGCCCAGAGGCAGCGGCCGACGGATGACAGATCAGTAGAGATTGGGCCCAGATATTACGGAGGCTGGATGGTATGCATTTTAAGATGGGACGAGCGCGATCAAGCTACAAAGAGTAAAGGCGGATACGCAACCATTATACGAATGCATCCATCCTCGTATGAAGGTCAGCTCACGTTGGCGCCGGTGTTGGAGGAGGTCTGAAAATAAATCAGTATTGAGAAAAGGGTAGGAGAAGATGGTGGTGCGTTGTATATTTCTTGTTCTAGGAGGAGTTAACAGGATTAGTACGGAGTAATACAGGGCAATATAGCAGGTGAGCACGCCCAGGCTGCTGGCCTTACGCTTCTCGCAGCTGCCGGGAAGAGGTTTACGGTGAGCCTAGCTCACAAAGGAGAGGGGAGGATCGCTCGAATCCTCATGCTGTGGTGACTAGAAATCCCCTAGGGAGGATATCCCCGGGGAAGGGATAAGAACTGCAGCCTCACGCCCACATGTCACTCACGATAGACAACCGCCCTGGGTCCTGGGAGTAGGGTGAAGTTCCGTTAGTGGTGTCTGCAATCGGTGTGCCTACAGCTCTTCGCCAGTTCTTTACGTGGCTGAGATCAAACGTCGGGCCGTCGAAACATATGACCTGACTCCTTATCGGAACCGGTATATATTGCAGCATTTGTAATTTTTGTAAGTTGAAAATCTTGTCCATCGGCAGCTGAGGATGAGGATTCTGCAAGAGGTATTACTTCAAGGCTGACCACGTCTTGATCTGACTATACGGGTTCTCGATCTGTATGAACTGATAGAGCTGTTGTGGAATAGGCCAAGAATCCGTAGTTAGATAAAGGAGAACTCGTACAGATGTGGAACAAGAATTGAAACCCTCGTTTGGTACGCTTGTAGCCGAGATGACCTTGCGCGATATCACAAGGAGGTGCTGGACTCCTGCGGCTGGGCTGGTATCCAGGACGTCAAGACTGGCGAGCTGAGCGCTCGGATGAAAAGTTTCTTTCTCAGCGAAACAGCAAAATATCTCTTTTTAATTTTTGACGAAAGTCACCCACTCAACCAACTGGATGGCCCGTTTGTCTTCAATACTGAAGGTCATCCGTTGTTTATCCCCCCGAGCACTGGGATGCGGTTGGCGTGGCGAGGATGGCTAGGGTATGAGAACAGGAAGGGCAAGGGGGCGCGGTTGGGTGAGTCATTCGGCTGTTTTGTTGAAGAGAAGGGTGCTGGGCCAGGAGACAGGCCCAGAAACAGAGCCAGGAGAAAGGAGAGGTCGAGCTCAGTTCGACTTCTCATCGGTCGTTGTGGAAACCATGTCTGAACGACATACTGAGATTACAGGCATCATCTGGCAACAGGTTGACGTCCGCCAGATGGACCAGGTTCCGTCAGAATCGATAGATGTTGTCTTTGATATTAAGCTATTCGATCATCCTGTCGCTGTAAGCATATAACCATGTAGAACACCTGGCTGTCTTTTCTCAGTGCCCCGTTTCGATGTATCTCACCACTTGCTTCCACCTACGCTGCTTGATTTGATCTTGCCATTTTATAGGCCATGGATTCTCTGTTCTCCATCGGAAACTCAATCCAGTAATTCTTTCATTCGTTGTTAAAGAGCAATTTTGAGAATAGAAGGACTCTGCAGTGAATATCCATTGAAAGTCCGGCCTTTCGGAATAACTTGACAAGACCTCTCCGTTGTGCTGATCGATGGATGCGTCCCAGTGACTTACTTCGGTGGAGTAAAGGAGCAATTGGAGAGCAAGCTTCACAAATACCGAAGAGAACCCTACGGTCTGGAGCCAAAACTCCTGGATTCACGTGCAGAATGTTATCTTAATCTTTGGTCTCATCTCGACACGCCAGTAGAGCGAGGCAGATTTGAAGACGAAATCATCTATGTCGCTGGAAATTGTGTTGGACTCCCGAGGTTATGATCGACGACAGAATTTGGGTACAGGCGTCCTGCAAGGCTCGAGATGAAAGCATTGGCCGTCGGCGCAGCTCCCGAATCGAGGAAACGACTGCGGATAGAACAGCCAAGATGAAGCAGATGATGGTCGTTGTTAATCTGGAGGACTGGCTCTGAGGCTGCTTGTGCGTCACCAGATCAATTTGGACAGAACTTCGGCCGAAATTGTATTTTTGTTCTTTTAATATTGTGAAGCTCTTTAGTACAATTGGTAGAGCATTGAGAAAAGGCTAAGGCGGGAGCGGCTGTCTTGCGCTTGAGCGTCCCTGCGAATTTCTACGTACAGTACAGCGAAATTCACGTGACTCACAGCGTTGCAACAACGCCACTGCATTTCAAATCAATGCTATTTTGCGCATTTTTGACGAATTTGCAATGCTTTGAAATACGCTCTTTTCGCCATTTTGATTGCTAATGCACTGTTTCTAGCAAGTACGAATTGCTTCTGTTGTATTCGAACTGCTATGTTGCTGACGATGGCACTGCTGAGGCAGCAAGAGCGTCATCCCTGTTTTGAGCGTTGGTTTTGTGTATATAAACGCTCTATATCCACTCATTAGATAGAACAACTTGCTGTTTCGATGCTATTCTCCTGATTAGTAAGCACGGTTCATCAAGTAGTCATATCAGGTCAGGGAATCCTTTTGTTATATTATAGAACTAGTTAGAGTCGATTGTTAATACTGATCTGATTACTAATAGCATCAACAGCAGACATCTTGGATGATGACATAGTTCAAGGGGAAAGAGAGGAGGGGGCAATGGAAGATGCCAGATTAAATAATAATTCAATAAATATTAAGAGTGATTTAGGCAACACTTGGCAAGCTCTAGCAACCCTGTGATACTACCGATAAATACGTAGTAGTAAACACAAATATATACAACCCTTTTTCGAGTACTCACGTCACTGATAATGATGGCTAGATGCAATAAGATTGTGTTTTGAATGCTTGCCCCCTTGTGCGAGAATGAGGTATAATGGAGGGGGTTTCCTGAGTGACTTAGGCAGTTAGAGGAGAGATCTGAGTGACCCTATTAACCTGATTCTGGAGATCAAAGGGACTTGCGGAGCTTAGCAAGATGTCTGAGGCACTTGTTTAATCAGAAGAGAGTTCGAATCTGAGATGATAAAAAAAAGACCTATCTACTCCTCTCTCGCTTTTGATCAATAGTGTTTGTGAAGAAAAATTAGATCCACAATGTGATACAAGAGCCGATGCATCACGATCGTGGATCTATGATCCTGCCGGGGATCGAACCCGGGTCATTCGATAACTTGACAGCGAATATCCTGCCACTGGACTACGGGACCGGTTATCTTGTGATCTCGTTTCTCTTGCTCTGAAATATAACTTTTTCGTAACCCAGAAGTGTTGGATCAAGCATGAGCTCAGCCATTCCTAGAGGCAAAGATAACGCGGCTTATCAACCGAACGCGCGTTCTTGATAGATGGTTGCACCTTGTGGGACTCTTAGATCACGTTATCAGAGACTCAGAAGTAGGGAAGGGACCCCGAGGCTTTTTATAGTGAATCTGGGTGCGAGATGGGAAGGAGAAGGAAGCGAGGACCCTTTTCTTTTTCTTTTTACTAAGGAATACACGTTTTTCAGAGCAATCAGAAGAGAGTTCTTATCTGAGGTGATTTAAACAAAAAAAGACATACCTGTCCGTCTTTCGCTCTTGGTCAACAATGTCAGTAAACAAAAATATTTCTGTAGATCCACTCTCCCGAC